TACAAATTTAAAAATTAATAAAGAAATAATTTTTTTATATAGTTCGTGTGTTCATTTCAAATTTAATATATATATAAATATAATATATATAAATTGTAATACTAATATATATATAAATAACTTAATATTAAAAAAAAAGTTGAAAAAATTTGGGCAATTCGGGCTCGGGCCGCCCGGCCAGGCTCGGGCCACCGAATACAAGCCCGCGGCCCGTTCAAGGTGAAATTCGGGCTCGGGCGGGCGGCCCCAAAATCTCGGGCGGGTCGGGTTCGGGCTCGGGCAAATCCTCGGGCTTTTCGGGCGGTCGCAGGCGGCCCGTCCAAAGTTCCAGCACTAGCTGTCTCCACCAACCACCCAACCACCAAACCACCCACATGTGCTCATTATCTGTTTTTATTTCTAACCATTTCTATTCACAATATTGTGATAATAATAATTTATAGATGACAATATTGTGTTCATGTCAACTCATTTATTAATTGTATTAAAAAATATCAACTTAAACACGATATATTTATTAAACGTGTCAAAAATATGAATTCAAACACAACTCATTTATTAAATGTGTTAATCGTGTCAATTCATATAACTCGTTTAAATTAATATATTAAATAAATAATTAATATAATAATGACTTATTTAACACGGTTAAAACAAGTTTAACATGTTTATTAGTCAATTTGTCTTTTTTTTAAGAAAAATAAATGAATTTTACCTACAAATATTAAAATTCATATTATTTATATTTAACAAGTCATATAAACTTTCATATTATATCACATATCACTAGATTACAGATAACACATATAATTAATCATGTCAATTTGTGTCACTTCGTGTTATGAGGTCAACCCTAATTTAATCTATTTATTAATCGTCTTAATCGTGTCAATCCGATTATGACTCAAATTCATTTATAATAAACTCAAAACTACTAATTTCGTGTAAATTTTAAATCATGTTGTCGTGTCGCTATCCCTATATTCAATTATATTAACGTAGGATAGGTACTATCTTTCATCAATCGAAGTGGCCACATGTAGTGCTGGAATTTTGGACAGGCCGCCCGCGACCACCCGAAAAGCCCGAGGATTTGCCCGAGCCCGAACCCGACCCGCCCGAGATTTCTGGGCCGCCCGCCCGAACCCAAATTTCACCTTGAACGGGCCGCGGGCTTGTATTCGGCGGCCCGAGCCCGGCCGGGCGGCCCGAGCCCAC